CCGACTTCAACTCTAGAGTCGGGTGTCGTTTGCCCAGTCCTACTCTTGATCCGAGCCGAGCTCCTTAAAAATTCATGTATCCTGCTTCCTTTTTTTATTGATGAACGTAAATGTTGATGTAAATATTAGTGTGAACATTATTTGACATGTGAATAAAAAAGTCACATTTTTTCCTTCTCAATTTATGAATCTTTCTTGCATTTGTTTAATGCGTTGTTTGAGTCCATTGAGAGTCGCGACGACTTAGTCGTTACAGAGAATATGGCGACTCAACCTCATACTTTGTCTCATTAAATATGACCATAATGTTTTAAAAATGCATGCCTTGATCTTACAAATGTGCCAAGGTCTTGCTATGAATATGCTAATCACAAATGTTTATCTTTGTGAATTTAGACCGCGTACCTTTGAGTATCAATCAACTTTTTTTTGCTTTTGTTAGGATGACTCGAATGCATGCCTTGGATTTACTCGTAAGGACACCAATATCTTAAGATATATGCCTTGGGCTTAGGAAGATGCCAAAGTTTTCTAGCCGATGTAAGTTGAATCGATGTGCATTGGCTTTATCCTGAGTAGGTATCGAGTTCTTATGTGTCAAAGTCAACCGAGTCGAGGCGTGCGCCTTGGTTTTACCCTGAGTAAGTACCAAAGTCTTTTTGTCGATGGAGTGCCTTGGTTTTTTTCATAAATGATACCAAGGTCTTTTGAGTCGGTCGCGTCATTGTGTGTCTTGGTTTTATCCCGAAGGGGTACCAAGGTCTTTTTGTCGATGGAGTGTCTAGGTTTTATTCAAAAAATGATACCAAGGTCTTTCGAGTTGGTTGCGTCATTGTGTGCCTTAGTTTTATCCTGAGGGGGGTACCAAGAACTTTTGTTGATGGCGCGTATTGGTCTTACCCTGAGTAGGTACCAAGGTCTTTTGAGTCGATGCTGACTAAGTCGAGGATGAAGGACCAATGAAAGCTGTGGATAGATAGAAAAATTATCTTGTTTGGAGATAGTGCAATTAATGCGATTATCTTGGGGAATTTTATGTGCCTTGGGCTTAGACATGGAAAAATTCCAAGGTCTTTAGCTGAGGCAGACTAGCTTCTTAGCAACCTCCTTCCTCTGATCCCTATTTTTGGATTTGTTTGGTATGGGGTTAATTTTGGAGGGTCCTTTGCCACTTTCTTCCTTGACGGGGTCGGCCCCTACCGCTAACTCGATCACCATTGATGTCATTGCTGCTGTCGTTGCTGTCGTTGCTGTTGCTTTAGCTGTCCTGGCTGCCTTCTTATAGGCTCGGTATCAACCAGGAAGTGGTGCACAAACTTCTCGCTAAGCTACACAAAGCTATTGATGGACTTCTTGGGAAATGAGTTCCACCATAGCTTGTTCGCTTCCCGAAAGGTGATAGGAAAATACCTACAAATGATTGGCTCCGGCGCCTGTAGCATGATCATCATATCATAATAATTCTGAGCATGCTCGACTGGATCTCATTCACCTTTGTACTTCTCCACGTAAGACATCTTGAATTTGTCATAAGTAGCATTCATGATGCTGGCGGCAAGGAGAGTGTTCCCCCCCAATAGCTTCAGTGGTTGGCTAAAAGGTCCGGTTGTAGTCAGATACAAGGTTAGCGATAGAGGAGCCAAGAGCGGCATGAGGATGCCGAGGGCCGCGTGATGCCATCCTTGTGGGATGCTCTCGGTCGTCATATGTCCATAGCTTGGGTTCTCCCTTATCGCTTACATGTACTGCTAGTGCTGTCGAGGAGGGGCTACAAAGCGAGTTTGCTGGCAAGGCAGGGGAGAAGTGTGCTCAGCTTGGTCTCCTTGCTGTCCAGTCAACGTGACATGTCCAAGGGAGGAGGAACGAATGGCTAGCCCATGGGAGGTGGAGGAACAATTGAGGCGGCGGGCTATTAGGGAGGAATTTAGCTGAGAAGCTCATTTGTGAAAGTGGCAAACTGCTGCTAAAAAGACCGAGTAATCCTCTGAGTGGATTCTTCCAACTGGGCCTGAGTGACATAGCCCGCTTGTGATTCTTTAGGAAGTGGGTTGAAAGCTCGACTAGGGCGTTCAGAACCAGACATCTTGCTAGAACAATGATGAAGGGTCCCACGGTAGGCTCCAAACTGTTGATGCTAGTTATCAAGCAGGGGGTTTGCGGATGGATTAATTATGGTGGTGTTTGGATCCTCAAGCTCCTTCAGATGCCTGGCTCTAGGGCCCTTGAAGAACTCGTAAGAGGTCGGAGTTGGATTCTCTGGTGGTACTTTTAACGATCAAGTTAGTATCTAAGCTTGAGTGGAGAGATACAAAAAAGTGATGAAGTTAATCCAAAGTTTCAGAGTTCCATGGAGCCGAAGCCATTACCTCATGCAGTGCAGCTTACTTTTATAGCAGATCGGGAAGGGAAAAAAGATAACTTGGGCCGATTCTAGGCAAGTAGCTGACTCGGCAGGTGTCTTATAGGTGTTGGCTGCGGACGAGGATAAGTCATTCAAGTAGTTGTACAAAGGCGACAACACCTGCTTGGTGCTTATTGGGTCTGATAAGTGATAAAGACTATGGGGACTAGAGCAATGATGACTTTGTTAGTGACCAGGGGTTCAAGGACACACCGCCTCTCTAGTCGTTCGGTTGAAGGCCGACAAACACCGCTTTTCTAATTGGCTATGCAAGTTGTCGGCTGGAACAATAGTCCGAGTGCGAGTGCTTATAGGATCGATCTGGTTGGTAGGCCGATAAGTTCCGCCTTTTTAGTTGGCTACGCAAGTTATCGGCTTATGGAATCGGCTACAGGAACAACTCGAGTTGTCAGTTTCTGGAATGATTAAGCGTGGGGTGGACAAGCATCGGCTTCCCAGCATAGATTAGTACTTGGTTAGCTTGCAAAAAATGGGAATTCCCACTTAAATGGAAATAAAAGAATAATACATAACTTTTAAATATACTCATTTACACTTCATTCTCTAATTGTAAGTAATCATGAGAATGGAAAGGAGTATTTCCCTTCCTTGTTTTATTCAATTCCCATTTCACTCTTTAAATAAGTCATCCCAATGGATTCGTAGCAGATTCATGGTTTGATGGGCATTTGTTGGATATTCTATTTGCTTCGAGATTCTATTGCATGAGTTAGAAATCAAGCTAGAGTGCACGCGATGTTAAATTTGTAATTTCGTCCAGTACAGATTCGAACTCCCTTGAGCGCGCATGCGTGACTTTGTGTGACTTTGTTCAAATGTGGAGATTTGTAGTGTGGGTCTGGCATCTATTCGGTTTAAATGTGATTTAATTTAAAAAGACGGTGGAATTTTGTTTTACATCAAATAAAGAGCAAAATGGATGGATGATTAAATGTGCTTGGACTTGTTAGTAATTTGGGTGGAGTTCATCACACAATCCAGTGGGCGGATCAAACAGGGCCCAACTGCGTCCTTTAAGTGGGGCAGGCCTCCTAATTCTAAGGCGTTAGAATTTTGTCCACTTCTATATATATATATATATTATATATATATATATATATATATATATATATAGATTAATGGGTATCCTTATCATAGGAGGGGATTTTTCTCCTTAACGTCTCTAAAATCACATGATTGAGCGACATTGTGGATGATCCGCTCCGTTGAACTTGATATACATATTCTAAAACCCCAACACACCAAGTTTGGGGTGAACCCGTAGTCGTTTTACTCTTCATCCACTCGTATCAATTTAACGGTTTGAATGAATAGAACTTTTCACATGGCTCGATGGAGGTCAAACGAAGACGGATTCACCCCAAACTTGGCTGTGTTGGGGTTTTAGAATATGTATATCAAGTTTCAACGCGAGCGGATTATCCATAATGTCGCTCAATCATGTGATTTTAGAGGCATCAAGGAGGGAAATCCCCTCCTATGACAAGGATACCCATTAATCTCATATATATATATATATATATATTATATATATATATATATATATATATATATATATTATATATATATATAATATATATATATATATATATATATATCTAAAACCCCAACACACCAAGTTTGGGTGAATCCGTTCGTCGTTTGACCCTCCATCGAGCCATGTGAAAAGTTCTATTCATTTCAAAACCGTTTAAATTGATACGAGTGGATGAAGGGTCAAACGACGACGGGTTCACCCCAAACTTGGTGTGTTGGGTTTTAGAATATGTAGATCAAGTGTTCAACGGAGCGGATCATTCACAATGTCGCTCAACATGTGATTTTAGAGGCTCAAGGAGCGAATTCCTCCCTATGACAAGGATACCCATTAATAATATATATATATATATATATATATATATATATATATATATATATATATGTATGTATTTGGGTCCTCTAGTGGGCAGGCTCCTAATTCTAAGGGCGTTAGAATTTTGTCCACTTCTATATATATATATATATATATATATATTATATATATATATATATATATATATGCACCTGCAGAGCATAAAAATATAGAAAAATACTACCGTCATCTCATTTCTCTTCTAAATTATGTGATTTAGTAATGGTACAGTACATGTAAGCTCTTCACCGTCTCTTAGTGTAATTGCTTGCCAAACATTGGTTGAAGATCAAGACTAGGTGTGTGACGATTCCGTCAAAAGACCCAAACAAGTAAAATCTAAACAAGAGATCTTATATTTATATATGATCATGTTCAGTCTACGGAACTCACATCCCAAAAGGTGACGATTCCGTCTAAAGACCCAAACAAGTAAAATCTAAACAAGAGATCTTATATTTATATATGATCATGTTCAGTCTACGGAACTCACATCCCAAAAGGATTAATCATTTTGAGTCAATTGAATCCAAATAGATTAACTAGTCCATCTTCTTCACGAGCCTTTCCAACTGTACAATCCAGATGAGTTTTGAGAATTACACGAGCGCCCTCATTAAAGTTTAACCATTTTTTATCCTATGTTCAGATATCACCCATCACAAATGTCGCAGAAGAAGTCAAACATAGCAATAACATCTCAATTATATTTATTGGAAACTACTCTCATTATGAAGTCCAATATCCCACATGGTCAAATAAACAACCGTCTTGACTTATTAAAAATCTGCCTCCAATGGAATTGTACAGATAAATATTAAGTTCCTGCAATTAGACAAGCAACCCACAGCTTCTCAGTTTCAAACTAATGAAAGCTCCCCTGCAGGAATAGATCTCTTGACCAATTTAGCCCATGCTTCATTTGTCTCCATGATGACCTTCATAGCATAATCCTGCTCAACAAGAGAGACAAATTATAACTAAATCAGAAAGCACTTTGTACAAAATTTTATAGACACAAGCTTTAATGTTAGCTTGAAAATGCCCAAGCAAGCATCAATACCATTCACTCGCTTTTTAATATATGAATACTATACAATCATAAAAAAAACAATGGTTAATTGCGGAAGATCCCTTGTACTATCGCCAAATTGGACCTACTGCCCTCGTAGTTCTGTTGTTGCGGATAGTCCCCTTTGAAAGAGTTTGCTGCAGATAAATCCCACGAGTAAAATCCACTGTTGCTGATAGACTCCCTAAAAAGGGTCAAAAAATTTTACTCAAGGGGTCTATCTGCAACAATAGAATACAGGGGTAGTGATACTACATGGGGTCTATCCACAATTAGCCCTAAAAACAATTCCCAAGGTTTACATGAATCGTGAAACATGACATGAATACAAACAATAAAATCCTGCAGATTTACCTTGTTTGCTGCCTTGTCGCCAAGACCAAATTTATTGGCAGGCTTTCCATCTGGAATCTTGTAATCTCTGAACCAGTCCCTTATTGCAGTAAGAGTGCCCTGAAGTAAAAATAAACAATCAAATTTAAACACAAAATGAGAACAGATCACAGTTAAAACAACATAAGCATCTCAAACTCACAATAACAAAAAGATAAAAAATAAAAATATAAGATAAAAAAATAAAATAATTATCTATTAAAATCTAACCATCTAAGGTGCTTCTATAATCAGCTTGTAATGTAAAACTAAATTTATGAAGGTAAAATAGAAGAGAAATCAGTTGACAAAATTAGGGTTTGAAATGGACACAGATCTACAGAGAAGAAATAGGCAGGTCTCAAAAATCAACACTCATGAGTCAATGGAACTCTTTTTTTTTTCCATTCATCAGTTCTGATCATTCTGATGATAATAACCATATTTGTAAGTAACTCAAACTTTTAAACAAAGTCAACTTAAAATCTTAATATGAATTTATGAGATAGACTTCTAAAAAAATGAAACTACCAACTAGGTAAATCCTAAAACATAACTTAATTGTGCAAGGTGGAGTGGGGTTCAGCATCACCACATTGTTTAATGCATAGATGATGAGGTATTTTGATATTCAAATGGAAGGAAACCGATGTTTGGGTTCATGAAATTACAGGAAAATGCTTCTCAACATCATTCACATCATTTACAAGGGAAGCTCTAGGATCATCCAATGAAATTGCAACGATCTTCCAGTCCAGCTCCCCTTCATCAATCATGGCTAGAGCACCCAAAGGCTTGACCTTGAGAACATCACCAATCTTAGCCCGAGCATCACCTATCTCAACAACATCAACTGAAAAAAGAAGCAAAAACAACAAGAGTAAACATCAAACCTGTTTTACAAGTTAAAATGGATTCTTCATACTGCAGAATATTAAGCATGATCAGCATCAGAGGTTAAAAATGTTCTGCATCTTGTAGTATACTTCTCCGACATCTGGATATATCACCAAATGTGAAAACACGAGTTTCAAACTCTCCTTCGACTGCAATCTTCATCCAGCGGAAATGTAATTTTGTATTTTCTTTTTCCCCCTTTTTTAGATTTTAGATTGCTCTTAGGTATATCAGGCATTGTTTTAATTATCCGCCGACATATATACTGATATCATTTTTTTATCTTTTGATTTTAACATTTTCTTTGTTTTTTCTTTTTTAGATTGCTCTGAAGTATATCAGGCATTGTTTTAAATATCTACTTACGTACTGATATTTCCTTTTAAAAGACTTCCCTCAAAATGATATGATTTTAATTTATCTTTTGTGGTAATTTTCGGTGATATATCAGAAGATTCCCGAACATGCGATGACATTTTAGCCTCAAACAATCGACTAAATGTTGCAATTTTGATTTGTACTTTTCATTCATTTAAATGATCAGGTTTGGAGTTATGCTCAATTGAGATCTAAACCCAAATCGATACCTGTTTATGTAAATAAGCAAAAAGAATAAATAGGGCAACAATTGAATACAAACTCTTTCGCGAGGAGTTTGCATCTCTTTTCAGTATTGGGAAAATGCAGCTGATGATTGACTATTTCTCTTTCCCTGTAAATTAAAGACAGCATTCAATTCCCAACCATTTACATCAAGGTGTATTGTATGCTGCAGCAACCTCCCAACTGTACCTCCATCATGACCGCTTTCATCAATAAGCCTCCGTTGTCTAGACTGCTTGTTGTCAGTAAGTTTCTCTCGCCCTAAATCTCCCACCATTTAAATCTCTTTCCCCATTTTCATTATAGATGGTGGATTAAGTTTTGGCTTAGAAGTGTCAAAAAAAGAACAATTTCATGCGAAATAGGTTTAGTCATAATAGTGTCATACACTTGGAAATATTACTAATTTCTTTTAATAATTTTGTTAGTTCCTTTCTTCACAACTTCATTCCCTGATGCAACAAGCGCATACATCTATGACATGTATACGTGTTAGCCTACAAGACACCCCAATATTTACTAAATACCCTTCATATCAGCCATCTGATATGGAAATTTTCCGTCCAATATGCCCTCAACATCCGACATTTAGAACACTAATATCAGGTAATTGCTCTCATAGTTCCTCTCTATTAATAAAATTCAGATAACCTGTTTATTTTCTTCCACTACGGAAAAGAATGGGTTCAAATTTACCTGGGTCATTGTCCCCAAATGCCCCATCAACTTCAGCATTGGCAAATGTTGGATCTTCCCAAGTTTGTGGAAGCAACCCATAATTCCAATTTATGTTATACCTGAGATTGACACAGTGCAAGTTAAACAATAAATTAGTAATTAATAAACCAGCAGAACTGTTGCAAAAGCTTTTATGTTATATTTGATAGTGATACATTGCAAGTGAAACAATAACTTAGTAACTAAATTAATGCAAAAGCTTCTAACAGCTGAATGAATAACCAAGTTCATTCCCTAAAAAAATATATAAAGAAACCTAGGTAATGTTGTTTGAGGAACCACGGACAAAAAGCCATCAGAGGATGTTATTGCACCTCAAACAATCTTGAACTAGCACAAAGAATACCCAAGGATACATAGAAATAAAGGGAGAGGGTGCAAATAACTAGGGGACAGGAAATAGCTGAAGGTTAACCAAGGGAAAAAAACCGAAGTAGGATAACAACCTCGAAAGATGTCTCTTTGGCTTTGAAAAACGTAGCATTTCTTTCAGCCTAAATGCACCATAGCAGATTCATTATCAAAAAGAGCAAACCACATGAGAAATTCGACTTTCAAAAATGGTGTTGCATTCCAGATATTGATGGCATCTATGATCTCCAGAAGGTTAGGATGAATATAAAAATAGAGATATTTAGCATTCAAGAACCAAAGGAATGAAGGGACCAGGAGATGGACGTTGTTTGTTTACAATAGAGCGGGTGTTCATTCGAACTTGAGTCACTTTGAGGCATCCGTGAACTTGACTTGAGCAAATGTAGGAAGGCATAAAGGGCACATTAATATAGGAGAAGGAAGCCACAGAAGATAGGCACCCATCCATGGAGACAGTATTGGAAGATGGTGCAAGCCAATAGGTCAAAAATTAGTAGGTAAAAAGAACTAAAAGGTAAGGAAGGTAAAAATTAAGATGTTTTCTGACGAAAAATGTAGAGACAGATGTTCAACTCATAGAAACAAACAGGGAAATTTCTTCCCATCAAATTACTGATCGAAACGCAACAAGAGAATTTCAAAACATAAAAAGAACACTAGAAAACATAAAAATCATACACTAATTGTAATGCTTGAGATAAGCCACAAGATCAGATGCCAGATTCCCATATAAGTAGATAGGTTCATGTATTTGCACACAAGCATTATCATTATCAAAACAATTCCCATAAGTCGTGGTCCATTATGCACCTGAAAGTTCCATGAAGCATTTGACAAAAATTCACAGTTGGACGCCAACTAGATGCCAGCCCCTAAATTGATACCAGATTTCTTGCCAAGAAAATACAGAAGTAGCAAAACAACAAAAAGGCTTGCCATGAACTCTAGAATTCAAGTTGCACAGTAGGAAAGTGACCTTATTAGTTATCACATAAAACCACACTAACTATAAGGCCCATAAAGCCAGTGAACTTATAAAGCATTTCCATATATTTCTATATATCAATAGTACCAAAGATATAAAGCATGACAAAAAATCCCTCCCACGCTGTGAGCACCAATAAGAAGATTAACATGCAATGAGGTGCTATATAAACACATGAACATAACTAAGAAGATTTTCACCATTTAAATTATTATAGGAAATATTGCTAGATCACTGCATCCTTTTTATTTCTATACAATATTCCTCTTCCTTTATTTTTCTCTCAAATATATCTGAACCCTTCAGATAGATTTAATACGATTATCGTCATATAACTAATGTGTCAGAAAGCACAAACGCAGTAGGTTTAGATAGGTAGACTCCGCTTTTCCTATTAAGAATTCTAAGATATAAGCCAAAATACAAGACTTTTGACCATGGAATACTTTTTCGTATCAGTTTGACACTTACAAGTTACGAAAATATAAAAGCCAAATTATGTGAGTTGTTGACTATGTAATCCTTTCATTTTTTATTCTGAAACTTACAAGAACAATGTCAGCATTAAGAAATATTAAATTTCAGTTGCTGACAAGCCGCATATACAGTAAATAAATCACAGCAATTGTCAGACCCTTACGACAGCAAATTTAGCAGCCAGAAGCCAATTCCAAAAAATTGAATAAATGCTTCAGTGCTGTCATTAATGTTGTCAATGTTCTACTAAATGAACCACAAAATCAAAAGTTAAAGGCTAAATTACCAGATTGGTATTTTTGGTAAGGCACACTTTCCAATATGATATTTTTATATGCTCCAGCAACATTAAGGTATTAATACTGAATGGCTGCTTACAATAAGGCATGAGTTCTCCCAGCGAAGCATCTGGCATGGAAGCGTCACGTGACCCTTTCTGGACCATTAACGCATATGTGGCACTGACTTAATGATATGACAAGGATAAACAATAAGTAATCGTCTAAAATGTGTAAGACCGTGAAACTTGTATGTTTTGCATTTTTGTTTTAGATTAACCAAGCAAAAATATTGATGAACACTTCTCAAGAAAGTCATTTGATCTCATAATGCTTTCGTGCCAGATTCTTTGCTGACGGCAAGCATTCATGTCTTATCCAAAAGTTAAAAAGGGACCAAAGCGTAATTTTCAGAAGAACTCCTGAATTTTTGGGTGATTTTCCAAAACCCTCCTAAACTTTGGGGAGTTTTTCAAAACCCCTTAAAACTTTGAGAAGTTCCGCAAACTGAAATACACATTTTGAAAAAATAACTTCCTCTTAGTAAAACCATAAAAAAAGTTGCCGCCAAAACTTTCCTGTTTCCCTCTATCCTATGTTTCTCGAAAAACCAGGCGCACAATTTATCCCAAAGTTCAGATGAAACTTTCGGAAAGGTCACCTGTGTTGGGTGAACTACCAAATGTTAGGGCGGTTTTCTCTAATTAATAAAGTTAATAGAAGTTTCCTGGTGTTTTGTGAAATTTGCTGTGAAAATATCTTACTTGTAACAGTATATAATATTTCCATAATTAAATCCATGAAAAAGATGAAATGTTAATCTATGAATCAAAGGGTAAAACATCTTACGGATAATATCTCAGCTTCCCCTTCTTCGTATCCTGCTTAATCGGAGTATAGGGCTCATCTGTTGCCACCTCCATCTTCGCACTGCTCTCCTTCGGAATCTCGACCACAAAATTGAAAACCCCATCCCCCAATTTCAACGGGATATCATGCCAGGGGGAAACCTAAACACGAATGACTCAATTTTCAACACCAATCCACTAAATGGACAGGTTATTTACGCTTTAATACCCCAAAGTTTCACCTTTTTCACTCTGTACCCTGAACTTAACAAGTGCAAAAAGTTGACGTAAATTCCGTTCAAGAATATCAACACAGAAAAGTGAACCAGAAACAACATTTCTTACCAAGCTTAGGGAGAGTGAGGAACAAGTTAGGGCATTGAGGTTATCAATTTGTCAAAATAAAACTTAGGGTATAAAACTAAAAAAAAAAGGTTAAACCTTTGGGGCATTAAAGTGTGAATAATCCCTAAATAAACATCAAAATCGAAAAGAAAGGCGACCTTTTTGCCAGAGGAATCGAGGAAAAACACTCTGTAATCTAGGGTTTCGGGCTGCCCCTTCTCTTCGACGCTGATCTCGGGCTTGTGAAGGGCAGTGCAAGTGAGGATCTGGCGCTTTGAGAAGGACAAGGGTTTTTGCTTCGGAGCGAATGGTTGAAGATTGAAGAGGGATTTCGAACTGAGTCTTTGGA